GACGATTTTAAATTGTATAGCATGCAGTTTACGCGTGCAAAACATTGCTTTCTATTCCAATTTATAATAAAAAGTTACAATATATTCATTGAATACTTTCACCGAAAAAAGTCCATATTAATATGAATGGTGTGCGAGAGGTGATTCCGACGCACTGAATTGATTTATTTTACCTCCAAAACGTAATTTTCCGAAATATAAATCAAAGGGGCGATAAGGATCACCAAGGGTGCATCCAATGGTCGGTCCGTTTAATTTACAAATTTCATTTACTTATTTCTTTCTTAAACTCAATCTGACATTTCATTATTTGACTAGTGGTGTCATCTGATTCCATTTGAATATCGTCCTATCGTTCATTTTTAAACTCATATTATGCTGGTTTTTTCTTCAATTAGCACATCAAGGTATAACTTATGTTTATATTCGTAGAACCAAACCATGGTCGAAAATTAACTTCAATAAGCCAAATATAGAATATGACACAAATCTGGAATTGAACTGAAGAAATCGAGAGTCCGCGATTGTCTCTTGAACTACGAAATAATGAAACCTTTAGAATTTTAAAACAGTTGAGATAAATTACTAAGGATATAACTGCTATCCACTGATGAAACTTGTTATGGATTTTTCATTAAAAGAAATCTGCCATTAAAAATGAAATTTGGGTATTGCTGGTAATGGTGAGGGCTCTTAAAAAAAAAACTCTTAGGGCTCTATACTTCACGTTACGATTTCTCTAGCTTACCTATTATTACCTATTAGTAAAGGTTGCATATCTATCTTTTCATTGTATGAATGACTCTTTTTATCAATATATCTTTCAATTATTGTTCAATTGCCATATAAATCTTGATTACAAAAAATTTGATGAACATTTTATCTTCTTAAAATCTTTATCAAATTATCAGTTATTAATCATATTTTATCGAAATAATAAGAATTGATAAGCAGTTCTCTTGTTACTTTTCAATAATATTTACGCCTTTTTCTGTTCACTTGTTATAAATTTTATCGTTGAATGTAATCTCACTTTTGTCCATAATAACCTAACTAGACTATGACATTTTATTATAAATTTTGCAAATATCGTTTATTTGAAAATTTTTATTTAGCAAGGTAATCAGCTTTAAATTTTAATTTAAATTTAAACCAACTTTTTAAATTAAAAAATCGAGTTTTTCATATTTTATTGGATTCATATTTTCATATTTTTAATATATAATGTATTATATAATATGCTTAGGGTTTCAGTTAAAGATCATTGACTCAAATTAAAAGATATGGTTGTTTCGGTTTGCGTTGAGCACCATTAGTCGTCGCCTTTTGGTAGATGTAAACTTCTCATAAAACACTAATTCCATTGCTGAAGATACCATCTCCGTATGAGAGAGATTCTGTGACGAAAGTTAGTAGAACTAACCAAAGCAGTAATAGTGAATGTTGTTGTTAAATTAAATGTGGAAGGTCTAGGAAAAGAATTGCTGGGGACTGAAATGAGTTCCTTAATCATTTGCTTAATTAATCCAAATTTTAATATTTTCCTAAAAGTTTTGTAATTTGCTGTATAATTTATTATAAGATAAGATCGCTGCTGGTAAGCTAGAAACGCTAATCGCGTTATTTTAAGAGTTCTCGGATTGAAATTAATCAAAAGCTGGAAACGAATATTTGCTTGCGCAAGTATTTCTGTATTGGCATCAACTTTATTTCTGTCAATTATTTGTTCGCATCATGAACCGTATAATATTGCAATTATATCAGCAACGTATTATCGTCAATCAAAAAGGTTTTTTTTCTTCAATGAGTGTTGCATGAATTATCATTTTGAATAACTCGGCTTTGTAGAAGTAAACTTGAAAAATCTGGCTGAGGACCACATCTTTCATCACTCCACTAAAGCAATCAAGCGAAACTAAGCAGAAATGAGCTTTAAGATTAAAATTGTTGAGAAATTTTAGTTTTGCACCAAATACAATGGCGATATTGTTTGTGGCTCAAAAGCGATTGTTTTTGAATGATTTGCTTAGATGTTCAAGTCAAAATAATCGCGATAGCTTGAAGTCATTTATCAGCAATAATCATGCATTCAAGCCTGTTGGACAATGCAAATGGACCGTATATCTTGCAGAATGTGAAGTAATGGAAAATCTGACTCAGCTTAGATTAATTACTTCCGACCATCAACACGATAATGCTGAAGTAAATATTAATATTGATAATTGATAATATTGATAATATTGTTAATATTGTTAATATTGATTCTTGATCGGAGTAAACTTGTTATCAAAAAGTGACTCCGTGATGGATGCAGCAGCGAAATTGCGCTATCTAAGAAGTCTAAAGGTGCTATGAGACCAGAATCAGAGAGATTAAAATGAGAGATAAAAATGAGTTTACCAACGGATTAAAGATAACGAGAATGATAAAGCTTCAGGAGTGTTAGTAGAATGTTTACTGAACAAGTTTTAGAGAATACATCAAAAGATTTAACAAACAAGGTTTTGTACGCACTTTATCGGATTTTTAAGAAATATCGCTGGATTGCTAGAAAAAAGCGAGAATACTTACTTTTTACTTATTAGGTGACCATAGAGAGGGTTCGAGGATTTGGGGAAAGTTTTAGGAAATATGGTGAGGGGTGCTTATAATGGCTTAGGGCAAAAGCGAACATTGAAAGTGTGAGGGAGCTAACTGTCGAATAGAAATAAGATTCAGAGAGTTTAGGAAAATATTTAACTGTAACTGTGAAAGAATGGCAGATTTTGCACTATAATGAACTAAGACTTTTTTGCTAAGTACACATAGCAGATTATTATATAAGATGATTTTCGCAGAATCTATGTCCATAAAATAAATTCCATTTCAAGCAGTTGCAGATAGAATTTCGAAATCCAGCTGCAGGAGCACTAAACATTGTCGCCTGCTTCAGTCCATTGTTCCTCAGTGATAACTGGCAATTGTTATTGATATCACTGGAACTACATAAATTTTATGGTGCATCGCTACAAGTTCATTACATACAAAGGTGCTTTCCAGATTTTGAGAAAATAAATCCATAAATCCACAAAAAGTTCCTCAATCTTCGAATAATAATAGTGACCACATTAGTTTACAGCAAAGGATTGCATTGTCCTCAAGATTTACGAAAATAAGCTAATCTTAAATGAACACATGTATTACTATTTTATTTCCATCACAACAAACGATGTCATGAAGATAATGGTGATATCATAAAAAACTTTTTTTAGTATTCTGAGTGAGACGATGGCGATTTTGAAAATCTATGAAGCGCAAAAAGTAGTAAGCATTGAGCCGTGGTCGAAGATAAATTTCGATAAACTAAATATAGCATATGATCCAAATCTGGAATTAAACTGGAGAAATCAAGAGTCAGCTATGTGCGATTGTCTCTTGAAATACAAAGTGCGAAACTTGGAATTTTTACGGTTGAGATAAATTTCCAAGGATATAATTGCTATTCACTTATTAAAATTGTTATGGATTTTTTATTAAAAGAAATCTGCCATTAAAAATGAAATCTGGGTAGTGCTGAGAATCCATTTGCACTTCCGATTAGTCCTTTAACGATGGGTACCATATTTCTAATTAATGAAATCAGCCAAACACGAAATCATAAATGGTATTTGAAGAACAAGAATAAGTGGGTAAATAGGTTTTCAGACTTCTTTCTTTCCTCTTCTGTGAATTTTCTCGCAGTAATTTTAAAAGATTTCCGATAAGCAAGGATTTTTGGAATATTCAATTAAAGGAATCGGCGTCTTTCATAATTTTTGGCGATATCGATGATGTGCTTATTCCACGGATGTCAAATTCTTTTTTCGCAGAATTTACCTATTTTCATTCGTTATTTCCTAAGGCTGCTGCATTTCTTTATGATCGACATCAGGTTTCCATTAAAGCAGGTTGAATTTTTATTTTTATGTGAAAGTAAAAAGTAAAGCCTTAAAAATCATTAATCCTAATTAAAACAATTTGCAGAGCGAAATCCTTTAAATTTTTCACTTGCTCGTACCATTTCTCGAACAAAAATTACAAATGATTTGGATGATCCAAAATCTATAGCTATCCCATCAAGGATTCATTCTACATTCATTCACTGGCCAGGAATAGTGCTACCTGGATATAATATTCAAAGAATTAAGAATACTACAAATTTTATGCTGCATCTGCGCCACTGGCAATCTGAAGTAATCGCTAAAAATATTTCTGAATTAAAAATTAGTGCTTGGTAATTTCATTGATGAATTCCAATGAAATTTATTTTAGAACGATGTAATTCCTGTAGGCATATTCAGTAGGCAAGGAAATGCGAGCTTACTCACAGCACAACATATCAATATCAAGAGTAAATTACAAGTAAGTGGTTGAACCAGTATGGTAAAACTTTGCAGTTTTAGGCAATTAAGGGTTTTTTTTTTTATTATCTTTTATATTTATTCTTATTATTTTTTATTATCTCTTTGAAATTTTTCACTTTCATTTGTTTCTATATTCTTCTATATTCTTCATAAATTTTTAGGATAACGGTGCAACATTCTTAAATGATTACTTAGGCAAGAATGTTACCCGGGAAATCGATAGGACTTTCCATAATTTTGTGGAAAAATATGCGATTAAAGAATTTATGGACCTGCCATCAAGAAATTTCTATTTTCCTTTAATTGAGCAATGTTACAATGCCATATTTTATTCAAAAGCCAAGCAACCTGATTTTTGTCCTACTCCGATGAGATGTAACGTGACTCCAGTCATTGGTGTTCGTTGCACCCTAGGCAAAAATATCTATAAATCTAATAAACTGGGTGGTATAACTGTGCATACAGTACAATGGACTGGATATGAGGAATTTGATGATGGATGTCGAATCAAATAGTGAAACATTGAGCGAAACATTGCAGATCCATTTGATTCACTTTGTGCAAACTGGAATTTTTACTCATCTTTCCCATATTCCTTATATAAAGCGATTCTTGGTAATTCATATTCTATAAGATTTGGCTTCTGCGATATTTACATAATTTGATATATGATATATAAGAAAATTCAAAAGTGAAAAAAAGAAAATTTTAGGCTATCTGCAAAATTATAATTATTCGCTGAATCTAACTCATAAAATTTTAAATATTAAAATTTTAAATTTAAATTTTAAATAATAAAATTTTAAAAATTTAAAGGCTATTAAGTAATAAATGTTATTGATGATCAATTTTTTGAAAATATAAAAAATGGCTTATAGAGATTAATTGAAATGTAAAAATACTAAATAAAGTAAAAATTAAAACTATGATGATATCGAAAATTATCGTTCATTAGGAGATAAAAAAAATTTTATTTTATTGGGGGCTTATCTGTTGTGAAGTTCGATCTTCAGCAAAGACTAGCGAGCAGCGAATTCCTTTTTGGCCAATATATTATTAACCCATACGGAAATGCAGAGCTGATTTTCTGGAAGGTCCAACGACGATTTTAAATTGTATAGCATGCAGTTTACGCGTGCAAAACATTGCTTTCTATTCCAATTTATAATAAAAAGTTACAATATATTCATTGAATACTTTCACCGAAAAAAGTCCATATTAATATGAATGGTGTGCGAGAGGTGATTCCGACGCACTGAATTGATTTATTTTACCTCCAAAACGTAATTTTCCGAAATATAAATCAAAGGGGCGATAAGGATCACCAAGGGTGCATCCAATGGTCGGTCCGTTTAATTTACAAATTTCATTTACTTATTTCTTTCTTAAACTCAATCTGACATTTCATTATTTGACTAGTGGTGTCATCTGATTCCATTTGAATATCGTCCTATCGTTCATTTTTAAACTCATATTATGCTGGTTTTTTCTTCAATTAGCACATCAAGGTATAACTTATGTTTATATTCGTCGAACCAAACCATGGTCGAAGATTAACTTCAATAAGCCAAATATAGAATATGACACAAATCTGGAATTGAACTGAAGAAATCGAGAGTCCGCGATTGTCTCTTGAACTACGAAATAATGAAACCTTTAGAATTTTTATTAATAGTTCCTTTGAAATATTCAGTAAATTTGAAAGACTAAAGTGGACAAAAATATAAAACAATGTAAATTTCTTATAACAGATTTTCTCAGAGCAATTTAGAAAAATCCTGAGGAATAATATTTAAGGAATCGGCATCACTTATAATTTTCGCTGATCTCGATGATGTGCTAATCTCACAGATGTCACATTTTTTTCTAGCTGAATTCAATTACTTCCAGTCAAAATCTCCCAAAGCTGCAACGTTTTTTTTTTTTGATGTTAGACGTCAAGTTTCCATTAAAGCAAGTTTTTTTGTGGATTAAGATAATCGGTTAACAGAAGGCGACAGTGTTTAAGAAATTTTTTTCAAAAAGTTTCGTCATTAATAAAAAAACTTTGTGGAAGAAAATTTTGTCTTGAGAAGATCGACCATAAATATAGAATATCATATAAATCCACAAATCAAAAAATCATTCTTCGCGCGGTAACCATTTCGACACATCTAGAGGTCAAAATTCTTTAAATTTTTTAATTGCTCGAATTATTTCTCGGGCGAAAAATATCAAAAAATTGGATGATTCGAAACTGAACTAATTATTCCATCAATAATTCATTCAACATTTGTCCACTGGCCAGGAA